AGGCCTGAGGGCTCCACGTGGTCCGCACACGTTGGAAGCCTCAGGCCCTCGCTAGGGGTAACAAACGGCCGATGGGGTCACCGGCGCGCGGGTGAACCCCAGGTACCCCACCTTGGAGGAGAGGGTTTCCTCCACTATCGTGGTTTTTCGGGGGAACCTTCCCTCACTCCAAGGTAACGGATTCGCGAACCAAGGGAACGCCCTTGGTCAAAGACACTTCCGAACGAGCTCTCAGAGACATCGGTTCTCTTGAAACAGTTCTCTTCGAATCAGCAACACGCCACGGTTCTTTTCGAAACGTAGACCGTCGTAGAGGCGACGCTTTTCTGCTCGTGCAACTTAAACAGTTGCCCAATATTCATTTGGCGAGCAAGACGTGTCGTAGTCGCGAGACGGCCGCACAACCCGTCGGAAACACGAGAGTTTAGATCGCGACGCGACGCGACAACTGTACAGGACTGTATGCTGGTATATGAAAGGAACGTAAAGCCTAATTTGTCATGACTTAATTGATCCATCTTTTCTAAATCTAATGACCTGTGTGCACGATCTGTTACCTCGTATAGCGGTAGTATCACGACAGGCATGGCTCTTCTGCCGAAAGGGTTAATGCAAGTGAACTTCAGGACTGTATGCTAGTAGATGAAAGGAACGTAAGACCTAATTTGTCATAGCTTAATTGATCCATCTTTTCTAAATCTAATGACCTGGGTGCACGATCTGTTACCTCGTATAGCGATAGTATCACGACGGACATGGCTCTTCCATCGAAAGGGTTAATGCAAGTGAACTACTCCCTTTGCACCTGTGTGTCATCACAGCAGACAGAGCTATCCTAGCGAAAGGCCTAACGCAAGTGAACTACTCCTTTCGCACCTGTATCATTACACGAATCACCTTTCAAGTGACACACAGTACAATACAGGATTGTAAACTAATAGATGAAACGAACGTAAGGTCTGAAATTGGTCATAGCTTAGCACTAGATTGCTGGAGGTTGGGTATATACAGGTAACCCTCCTATAACACGGTAGATAGGTTCCTAGGAAATGCCGTGTTGTGTGAAACCGTGTTGTATGAGACCCAGAGCCAGTACAAAAAGGTGGGTTACGTTCCGAAAACTTACTAAAACCAAATTTCTTTTTAATTCTACGTAAACAACTTAATTTTTATTAAAAATATAAATGTACGTACCACACAAAATAAAAAAAACAAAAATATTATTTTAATTTAACGCAACTCTAATTTAATAAATTTCTTCGTCGTCACTGCTCATGTAGAAGTACAGTGTTGTACAAAGGTATCTGCAATTTTCTTATTGTGTTAGAAACCGTGTTATAGGATGCCGTGTTGTAGGAGGGTTCCCGCAATTTATGAATCGCGTTATAGTGAAACCGTGTTATAGAATTCCGTGTTGTAGGAGGGCTACCTGTACCTATTTTGCCTGAAATTCAATTTGACTCAAACATCAAAATTGAAGTTTTAAAAAAAGTAAAATTTTATTTCACACTTTATTCAAAACAATTTTGACATATATATTGTATTTTTAAAATACAATTTTCGCAGATTTTTGCGAGGCAATACAACCTTCATTCGACAAGGTTGGATGACGGTACTTGGGATTCGACTAACAAGGGAGCTGTCTCAACGTAAGTCCGTGCGCGTGGTACCGAAACAACGGACTTCTTGCGTGCGACGCACAGTATCTTGAACACGACGGAGAGAAAACGTGACGTGCAACATACCTGAATGCTCGCTTCGGTCGCGTTGGAGAGGACATTGTCGCTTCCGTTGCAGGAGACGGACGAGGTTCGATGAAGTCCGATGCGATGACAAACATTGGAGGAAACGTCCGCTTCGGAGACCTCGGGGCTGGCGCGTGGCGCGATCGCGAGGTTCCCGTTGCTGCCGCCATTGTTGCCAACTGCAGTAGCGAGAATGGCGACCTGCGTCGGGGGACTGTTCGCCGCGAAGTCAGCGAGGGAGCCACCGCCGCTGCCGATCCCCTGCTGCTGCTGCTGTTGCTGCTGCTCCGCGTACTCCAGGGCTGCCAACAGCCGGGGACATCTGCCATGATGGAATCTCCTGTCTGCTGGAAGCATAATAAGGTCGACGTTAACGATATTGAAATGGGTCGTATGAAATTCAACGATATCAATTACGCTGAATTGCGTCGGGGATCGATATATCGTGTTTCGCGGAAAAATTGTTAAGGAAGTATTAATTGCGTGGAAGTCGATAAAAGTGGGGGAGCTTTGACGAGTGGTGGGTATTAAGTCGTTTTATTGGTCTTTGTGTATTCTGTTAAGAGAACTGAGGAACTGTTGATAAATCATCTGTTTTTCTTTTTTCTCCTTGTTTTCTTGGATCAGTGATGTTATTTCGAGTTCATTCGCGCGTTATGTGGTTTCATTGCGCGATTAAACTGTGCGTGGTGCGAGCACGAAAAAATAATGGGGGCTAAGGACAAATGTTTATGCAAATGTACACGTGTTTACTGCTGCTTTTTTCCCAGAGTATATAGGGGGTCCCGAAATATAGGGATACTGGATTGAGATTTAAGAGAAAATACGATTTGAAATGCATGAATTCTAGTAGATAGATAGAGTGATTCAATTATACTGTATTATATTATATTATGTCCTATATTATACTGCATATTATTACGTACTGTATTATACGTGCATGGATTGTGGAACGGAAAAATGCTTTAGCTGTAACTAAATTAATTTTGTAAGAAAATAAAGTTTGGAAAAAACAGAAAATATATTTATTCGCGTTTTGCGAAGAGAAAGCTTCTTTTATTTAGGACAAGCAAAACTTTAATGAATTATAGCAATTAATTCAAATAAAATTTTTGAATCATGTCCATTGTTTTAAAAATTATTTTTATTTAAGTAAAAATTTTATTTATTTGCAAGAAAATAAAATTTTGAAGGAATAGAAAATATATTTATTCGCATTTTGTGGAAAGAAAGTTTCTTTTATTTGGGACAAGTAAAACTTTAATGAATTATAGCAATTAACTGAAATAAATGTTTTGAATCACATCCATTGTTTCAAAAATTATTTTTATTGAAATCAAAATTTTATTTAAATAAATTAAGTAAATTTTATTCAAATAAAAATTCGCAACATTCCTATGCTAAATGAATATCGAAAAATAATGCAATAATTTTCACAATTACTAAACACCTGTAGATACTGTAAACGAAATTAATATTAACTTTTATTGAGACAGCAGCACGATCATATATACCTATTTATTGTCACCATATCGTTTCAATTATTATTATCCTTCGTGTATACTATATTTAGCTACACATTACAAGTCAATGATTCCAATATCAATAATAATCTCTAATATTCCCGCAGCTTACTTTCAATCGAAATAAACACGTATAATTCTATCCCTGTGTTAATTTATCCCTCTCCACAACATAACAATTCGCAAATAAATTTATACCCCTGAAATAACTGAAAAATCTGCAAAATCCATTTCGTAACCGAATCAGTGCCACTATTATATGGTAGTGGTTACGTAGATTTTTAAGTATACATGTGTTGGGATGAGTGGAACAAGTATGCATGGAATTCGAATATGTAATGAATTCAGGTTGTTATGATAAATGAGTATGCGTGTAATGATCGAGGTGTGTGTGAATTATGCATGTCAATGTAATGTATGAAGAAGAAAGAAAAAAGAGAGTGATTTCGGATACGTTAGTTGCAATTGAGTAATAACAGTGAGAAGTCCTGTTGTTCCGTCGTGGAACAAGGAAGACCCGTTACGGTCTTCCAACAGCCAGGTTTTAGGATCAAACAATTCGGCATCGGAATTTTCCGCTCCATGCCTTCAGCATGTTTGACTGCTTTACCTTTTTTCTTTGACTTCTCGTGTCGCGGAACACGAGAATCCTGGAAATCCCTAATTTAACGAAATTAGGCGACGGCTCTTAAGACTTGGCTGACAATAGGCCTGAGGGCTCCACGTGGTCCGCACACGTTGGAAGCCTCAGGCCCTCGCTAGGGGTAACAAACGACCGATGGGGTCACCAGCGCGCGGGTG